CCCGCCCCCCGGCGCCTCTCGGCGGCCGCACCGGCACCGGGACCGGGACAGGGACAGGCACCGGGTAAGTCCGCGGGGGGTGGGGCCGTGGCGTGGGTCGGGGGCGGCGGCAGAGCCTGCAGCGCGGGCGGGCCCGGCCGGCGGAGCGCGGTCCCTGACGGCGGCTCCTCCGCCCCCTCCCTCCCCGCAGGGCGAAGCGGCGATGGAGACGGCACCCTGCGGCCCCTCTACATGGACGTCCAGGCCACCACCCCGCTGGTGAGCGCCGTCTCTCCCCGGCCCCGCGGCTCTCCCGGGGGGAAGGGCAGAAACGAGCTTTGTTTCTCTTCTCCTTCCCCCGGAGCGCTCCCGTGTCTCGGGCTCTCCCCGCGCCCCCGGGGGTGGGCCCCGCACAAAGCACCGTCACTTGCCGTGAGCGGCAGCGCCACAGGCCTCTCCCGGGGGCGGGAGGGATCCGAGAGGCCGGTGTCCCCGCAGAGCCTCCCCACAGCTCCTGCGCGGGGCTGGGTGTTGCTTGGAGGGGCAGCAAGAAGTTAATTTAACCAGAATTTAACAGAACCTGTGCCATTTTTCCTCACTTTTTAAGCCCGTGTGTTTCTTCTGCTCAGAAGATCCCCTTCCGTGGCCGTCTGGGTGTGGGCCGAGGGCCGGGGCAGAGCCGTGGGGGCCGGGCCTGGCCGGAGGCTGCGGGAGCGCTGCCGGTGCTGGGGCTGAGGGTGTGGGGGGGACCGGGATGATTTTCCACTTCTCTAAGGGCAAGTGTTTGTGTCCCGCAGGATCCCAGGGTCCTGGACAGCATGCTGCCCTACCTGACGGCCTACTACGGCAACCCCCACTCCAGGACCCACGCCTACGGCTGGGAGAGCGAGGCCGCGGTGGAGAGGGCCCGGCGGGTGAGTCCTGTCCCTGCGCTCCTGGGGGGGCTCTCCTGCCCCTGAGGGAATGCAGTGCCCAAAGAAAACCAAAAGCAGTGATAAAACTGTGGTAGCTGTTAATTCTCTGTGGGCTGAACTTAGCAGCTTCCTCTTCGCTTAGCTTTACTTTGGCAGGTTTATTGCAAGAAAAAGGAGTGAGATTAGAGCAATTGAAGTGGCAGAAACCGACACTTTACGCAAAGGTGCCTCAGGATTTTTGGTTTCCTGAGGTCACGAGCGTGCTGCTGCAGTAATTGGGCTAACTTCATATTTTATCATTCTTCTAATCTTAGCTATGAGTCTTGGACATTTTATATTTTTTTAAGTAATAAGTGCTGGGTTTTTGTCTACTTAACTTGTATGTTCTTTTATGACAGGCTAATGCTCACTACCACTGCTGCTAATGGCCGTGAAGGATGCATTTTGTGTTAATGCAGATTATTTAGACTATTGTACCCGCTGCATAACTTTGTTAGATACTAGCTGTAACCCTTCCAAAGTTCAAGGGGGTATTCTTGAACACGTTTTGCACGTGTTTTGCTATGTTGCATTCCTTGTATTTTATCTTAACAAATCAAATTTGTATTTCTTTTAAACAGCAAGTTGCGGATTTAATAGGGGCTGATTCAAGGGAAATCATATTTACCAGTGGTGCAACAGAATCAAATAATATGGCAATTAAGGTAAAAGGTTTATACTGATATTTATTATGTTAAAGTTATGCTTTTAAGAACTGTATACATCTTTCAACGGTTTTAATGTTAATGTCTTGGCTTAGCAAATATTTGCATTCCTGGACTTGCCGCTTGTGGGGTTCTGCTACATACATGGAGAAAATACTGGGATGTTTAGGTGCCCAGGAGGTGGTTTTGAGGACAGAGTATAATAGTCAATATTTACCTCATGTGCACCAAATACAGTCCTTCTGCTTGCATGATTAAAATCTTTATGACAAAATACAGCAGAGATGCTGGTTACAGCCTTTTTTCTGACTAAGACTAGGCAATGTTTTAACCTATAGCATGTGGTTATTCAGGCTTCTCATTGTATATGACTCCATTGCAAATGTTTTTTAAAAAGTATTTTTGTTAATAGTGTCTAGAACTTATATCAGTTAACATTTTCATAGGCTTTTTGAAAAGTGAGATGCTTTGAAAAACAAGTGCTGGTGGAAATATGTGGTGTGAATCACGTCAGTACCTTGTTTCAATTCATGACTTAGGGGCGAACGGGGAAGATCCAAATGAATTATATGTAAATTGTAATCTCTTGTTTCTGATCACTTTGTGTAAAGCTTGCTTTCTTCAGGGCGAGCAAATTTCTAATGGCAAGTTTCTTTGTTCATGGATTGTGCCTGACAGGGTGTTGCAAGGTTCTATAAATCCAGAAAAAAGCATATCATCACTACACAAACAGAGCACAAGTGCGTCTTGGATTCTTGCCGTTCCTTGGAGGCAGAAGGTTTTCGGGTCACGTATCTACCTGTTAAAAAAAATGGGCTCATAGATTTGAAGGTATGTTGTTTGCTGACAGAAAGAAAGGGAAAATGAGTAAGATGGAGCTGGCTTTGATACAGGAGGTAGTGGTGAAATTCCATGGCCTGAGCTACTCAAGGCCATCTGACGCAGCGATCACGATACTGCCTTCTGATTGCTGTCCCTGACCTGACCCTTCTGGGAGTGCTGGCCACAGTCCTGGGATTTACAACAGGATAGCATCAGTTTTATTTCTAGCCCCATCACCTGGTTTGGAGGGACTGTGTGCCTGAGGTGGGGTGGAGGGATCGGGCCCACAGCTGTAGAAGTGCTAGTCATGTTCTCTGAGTCCTTCTTTGCATGACTCTTCCTTGTACGTAGTGCAGCTCGTTTATAGCCAACCTCGCCTTGTCTGGATGTGGCTTAAGCTGTTCCATGGGTGGTGAATTCATTAAAGAAAATAGTTCGAAGGAATGTATGAGACATAGCAAACGCCTGTGCTGACTTGATTTAATCAAGTCAGGTGGCACAGTGCATGCCAGGGCTGGGATCTGCAGCAATGCTATTGATCACACTCCTCTTCCTACAGGAATTTCATGTTCACATGAATTGGTGCCCTCACCAGGGCTGTCTGTCAGAACCCGAGGGGTTTGCTGGTGATGCACTAGTTAAGGAGCTGCTGCTGGTTAGGATTGCTAGCAGGTTGAAGGTATGCACAGGGATCTGCTGTAGTCACAACTTCCATCTGTTTGAATATTTCACCAGGAGTTGGAGGCCGCGTTCCAGCCAGATACAAGTTTGGTTTCTGTAATGACTGTGAATAATGAAATAGGAGTAAAGCAGCCAATTCATGACATTGGTAAGTACACCATAGCTTCCAGAGCCCAGCTAATGTCACTTTTGCTTCGTTTGACTTAGTATTTTCATAGCTAAGTGCTACTGATGCAAAAGATTAGGCATAGCATAGTTAAGAGATAAAGAATGCTTTTGCAAATAAAAACTTACTTCAAAAGGGAAATGAGGATGAAATTCAGTACTTTTATAGTGAGTATTTTAGCAATTACAGCCTTGTAGTACAGATCAGCTGCAGAGTTTCTAGTTTCATTCAGAATTGTACGATGGGTGAAAAAATTGAACAGAATAACTGTCCAAATGGAGTTTACATACTGTAATTTTTTTTTGAGCATTTGTAATGTTTTAAGAGGAGAAATGTGCAGAGTTTGGAGTGGGAGGGAATGGTGAGCGCCAACACTTAGACACCCCTTCCCCCCTGTGTTGCCATATACATTCAGGAGCAATTGGTTTGGGGGTCAAAAGGCCAGTGAAGAGCCAGGTTTCTGGAACAGGAGGGTGAGCCAGGCTCTGAGCAGGCAGATGGAGGGACAGGGACCTCAAAGGAGTCTGACAAAGCAGGTGAGGGCAGAGCTGGAGCAGCAGGGTCGCTGGGGCAGGCAGGGTGAGCAGGTGGCCCGCAAACGCAGCTCCCTGGATCCCACCCATGGTGGTTCCTTGATAATGTTTCCTGTGACAGTGACAAAACACTTCCCTTCACCCCTTGACATCTAAGATGTCCTTTCATAAGATGTTTGAGTTTTTAGACAATTTTTAGGCTTTGGCCTCTGCCTTGGAGCTTATGCTGCATGGTTCTGGAGGGTATTCTTCTCACAGGCTGTGGCAGGCAGCCTGTCCTGTTGGTTAGCAGATTTTCCTCTTGCTTAGCTGTTGCATTTTTCTTTACTATGTTCAAAGTGGTGTCTTCCCCAAGTCTCTACAAGGTTATATTTCTTCATTGACAAATAATCGGCCATCAGTGAGGTGCTTATAGGCCTGAGAACTCTGTTTTCCTTCTGTGCTTATATTGTCCAGGTAGTTTCTGTTGTCTCGTGCTTAAATGCCAGAGATACCTAGTACCAAGCTGTGGTTCCCACAGCAAGTTCTCATAACACCTTGATAACAGGCCTGATAGGGCAGGACTGGGGCCTTGCAGAGTTAACCTAAGGCTCTGTTGGCATGAGGCTGGTGGCCTGGGATTAGCAGTAGTGATGCTGTTCTTGCTGAACCACAGCATCACCTGTGAAAGGTAGTGCTGAGCTGTTGCGCAAAGGAGAGGTCTGGGATACAACTGTGCTAGGAGCGGATTTTGTGGAAGGTGAGTTGTGAGTTTTTTGATGACAAAAATAAATAATATTTAAGTTCACTGTCCATGAGCTATACATTAGTTTGTTCCTTAGTGCTTCCTTTAGCTCTGGATGCAAAAACTTTGACTAGAGGCTTCAGGTGGGAGTAATAAGCCTGTGTGAGGACCAGTGACAATTCTGAGACTGTTTCTGAAGCTCAGTATGGCAAAACTTGGAAAATAGAGGAAATGATGTAAAAATACTTGGCAAGTGTAAACTTGAAAGTAAGGCTGGCTTGCAGTGGGCTGGTGTTGAGAAGAAAAAGAATAAATGAAGAAAAAAAATATTTTGTCCCTCTATGGAGTCATCCCTGTGGGGAAACTTGGGCGTCCTGTGCAGCATTTGTACTTAAACTTGGTAGGTTTGAGTTTGGAAGCAATCTGACTTCTTAACAGAAGTAGACGTTTTAACTTCTCAAAAAAATCCCTGTAGTCTTACCTGCTGACCTGTCTGAACCTGTGCCCATCTGGGCATCAGCTGGAATAGCTCCCACACAGCTTCAGACACTTCACCGTACAAGAAACATGACAGCACCTGCTTCTTCCTTAGTCCCCTCAGATCTGGTCCCTGCTGTGAACTGATGCTTTAGATTCATTGTTGGAATCATCTTGGAATCGTTAACCATTAGATGAGATAATGTGGGGGCTTTTGTTCTTGTGTTTTTGTTACAGGTGAGATTTGCCGCATGCATAAGGTTTTCTTCCACACAGATGCTGCACAAGCAATTGGTAAAATTCCTGTGGATGTCAACGACATGAAAATTGATCTAATGAGCATCAGTGGCCATAAAATTTATGGGCCCAAAGGTACTTACTGAAGTGATTTTCTGGAGAATTGTTATTTCCATGCTTACCTGTCCATCACAGTGACTGTTACTTAAACTGTAGAAGACTATTCTAAGACTGGTATTGGACTGACTTTGGAGTAATTTAGGCACTGCTGTCAGACTTAAGCTGCGGTGAGTGGATCTTCAGTACTGATGGGTTGTGACCTGGCTTCAATGAAGGAAGCAACAATATATTGTAATGGTGGCAGCATTAGGAGGAGCAGCTTTTCAGGAGTCATCTGGTTGGTGTGAAGCAGCGTTGATGCTGAAACGGGTGAAACAAAAGTACTGGGATATAGGGCAAAGTTTAGACCCAAGTGTAATTTGTAGTGAGGAGATCAAAGGGTAACTGGGAAGTGATTCTTAGTAATTCTTAGTGATTTTGATTGTCTTCTACTTCCAGTGGCTTCTTCCCTACCAACCCCATCTGTGCATCTTTGCAGAATGGAGTTTAAAATCTGGTTATGGATTTCTAGTCGACTCCCAAATCGTATGCATGCGTACTGTTTGGGAGTTCAGCTGTCTTCACTATCATGGTCCATTTTGTTTTTAACACTGGATGTAGAAAGACAGAGATCAGGTTTGCTGTATTCTATGTGCTATTCAGAAACAAAAGGCAAAATTACTTTTTTCAATGTGTCATCTTTTTCTGTATGAGCTCTCCTGAGAGCTGGAGACATATCTCTGGATGAGGACTAAGTTTTCATGCAATAACTTTAGGCAGGTGACAGACATAAATTTTCACAACTTATTATGACCAGAAGTTGCAGCCATTCTTCCTGTGGTGACAGTAACTCGTTAGCTCTGCCAAGGCAGTTGGCGACATGGAAATCAAGTTTCTGGGTGAGGAGACTAGAGAGGAAATTGACTGGCTGTCAAAACTGGCTCGTCTAATTTGTCTGTTGGAAATTGGTAACACTGATGAGTCTCCCTGATGAGAAGAAAGGAAGGACTCCTGGGTCTGGTGCTGTCCTGGTAATCCTGGGAAAGGAGTCACAGAATTGTTGGAGTTGGAAGGGACCTTCTAGAGATCCTCTAGTCCAACTCCCTGGCCAAAGCAGGATTGCACATCACTCAGGACTGCACCCAGGTGGGTCTTGAAAATCTCCAGAGAAGGGAACTCCGCGACCTCCCTGGGCAGCCTGTTCTAGGGCTCTGGCACCCTCACCGGAAAGAAGGTCTGGAGTTTTTAATTGGAAGTCCGTAAGGGAACGTCAATGAATGAAATATCTGCACATAAAAACTTCAGTGCAAAGGGATGAACTTCAGCTGTGCACAGGAATTGTGAGAAGTAAGGGAGGTATTGAGTCCTTAGGTGGCTGAAGCACAGGTGGAGAAACTAAGCCCCTCCCATGGCTGAAGCTCTGGGAGCCTGAGGGAAGAGGAACACACATGGTGGGAACAAATGCCATTTCCTAGAAAATATTGTGCTTCTGTATGCGTTCACTACGTTTTTCTCCAGTGAAATGTCCAAATATGTGTTTGCTGTGGAAATAAGGAATGTTTCCAAACCTTGGAGTCCTTTTTCATAGTTTCAGAATGATGGGTGTATACTGAAACAGCTTTCCTTGTTTTCAAGGGGTTGGTGCTATCTACGTTCGCCGTCGACCGCGCGTCAGGCTGGAACCCCTGCAAAGCGGGGGAGGCCAGGAGAGAGGACTGCGCTCTGGGACGGTGCCCACTCCGTTAGCGGTGGGACTGGGGGCAGCATGTGAGGTGGCACAGCAAGAGATGGAGGTATGTGGGAGAGGGTGTTTGTGCTGGATTCCAGAAAATAATATCACAGAGCCAGTTAGGTCTCAAGATTCCTTCAGTCCTTTTGTGTCTGTGTGCCCGAATTAAATGTGATTCTCCTTTTACAACATTAAGTAAGTGTTTTGAGGTCTTCAAGGATGTTTTAGGTAATTGGAAGTTGATTTTCAACTTTCTAAAGTTTCTTTTTTCTTGAAGTTGCATGAATCATGGTTTTCTACGACAGGCTTACAGTTTTAGTGATACCATAACTTACTGCTTTTTAATGTAAGTGTCCTCAACTTTAGTCTAGAATGAGACACTCCACGTGGGCAGTTCTCATTCCGTAGGTTACATGTTGTTAAAGCTGAGTCCACAGTAATTTGCAAGCCTTTGTCTTTATGTACTATAGTTTCAGAGCTCCTAGGTAAATAAGGGGCACTTACCATAATAGATGCCCTTCCTTGTGTTGCTACATGTCTCATCTTGTGTATTATCCAACTTGTCTTTAAAGGCAAAGAACTCAGTGCTTTTATGAAAACCAATTTGGCATCTTGTATGTATAGATCTTTCTGTATGGTTTGGAATATTTTTGAAGCTAGCTAGAACCAAACTGGTAATTCTCTTTTAAAAGAGCCTCTAGAATAGGCAAAGTTTGACAGTTTCTTCAGTTTCAGATCTGTCCTTTCCCCAGTCTAGCCCGATTCAGCTACTTCAGCCTACTCAGGGTTGGTGACGCCAAACAGTTTCAGTGAGGTCAAACTGTCAACTGTTTATTATTTTGGTCTCTCTTCTGGTTTCTTTGCTAGTATGACCATAAGCGAATCTCACAACTGGCAGAACGACTGGTTACAAAAATAATGAGTGAAGTTCCTGATGTGGTTATGAATGGAGATAGAGAGCATCGCTATCCAGGTAACATGAGCTCAATCCTGAACCCGTTAGAGCTGGCTGGCTCCTTGGTGTCAATGGCCATGACTAAATGGCCACTGACCTTCACATTGTGCAAATACTGCCATGTGGGGTAGGATCTGCCATAGATGTCAGTTGATGGAAAGTAGTTTTTTTTCCCTATTTCATTTATTTGTATGTAGGATGCATCAATTTATCTTTTGCATACGTGGAAGGGGAAAGTCTTCTGATGGCTCTGAAAGATGTGGCTCTGTCTTCAGGAAGGTAGGTGAGATGTGTGGGAAGGATAACACTTTTGAGCGAAAGTAACAGCTGCTAATGGGAGGGAACAAACTAGGGAGTGGTCTCCTCGGTGCTCCATATTTGGGTATTCAGTTAATGAGTCAGCCTAGCATTGATTGCATTCTAAGATGATGTTTCTCTGAAGTGGCACATTTCAAAGTAAGGTCGTCTTGAAAGAAAAAAAAAACCAACAAAAAACAACCCTCCACAAAACTAGAAAAAGCAACCTAGAAATTCCTACCTGCCACCCTTGCAGACCGGTTACCTGCAATCTCAGTAGCCTTGATTTGTAATTGCTGGTGACGCTTTCATTCTATAGGCTACGAGCATCTGGGCAGCTTCTGTCCTTCAGCGGGATTTCACACAAGTGGCAGACTGTAACTAGAATCTAGCAAGGCTGGACTTCACATTTTTTTTTAATCTGAATTAAATTAGCTCATAGCGCCTGTGTTTAATGCAAAAGCAGAAAAAAAATTGAATCTGCTTTTATGGAGCTCTATTGACTCTACAGGAGTGAGCAGTAACACTTCTATTACTAAGATAAATTTGCTGCTTGTGATGAAGATAATGGAGTGTGAAGATGCCCTCCTTTCCTCACCTTCAAGAACAAAGCGGTCAGCAGATCTTAGTTAGAAATATGTTGGCACTATGAGCAGGAAGAACAAGTCTCCACATGACTGTCTCTTAAACAGAACAGTTCTGTAATTTGAAAATCTCGTCTGAGGCTCTGTTCTGTTCTCTCCCATTTGTGCTGCATGTTGTTGCCTGTAAAAATTGAGTAACAACATGTAACCAGTTTTGCCTACTGCTTCAAGGTGGAAGTTCTCTACTGACCACTATAACAGATCACCTTGCTCTGGATTCCTCTATGTGCTGTTTTGCATTGATTTGTTCTGCTGCCAAACAGCAGCTTGTATGTCTTTTTTTCTTTTTTAGTGTTCCTGTTGGTATGTTACCTTCTCTAGTTCTATCTTGGCTCCTTTGTTTTGTTTTTTTTTTTCATGGCTTTCACTTGAGGTACCTCATAGTCTGCATTCCTGCTGTTTTTGTTTGACATAGTGTTTATTCTTACTGTGTTACCTCTTCTTACCTTGTGCTCCTAGTTTATTCCCTTCAGTCCCCTCTAATGCCTGCCCCTTCCATTCTTTTTCTTCAGCAGTAGAAATACCACTTTTCTTGCTTGTATTCACTGTTTCTAAATGGCTGGGGAAGCTGATACAAGTTGTAAAGAATTGTGAGAAACACCGACTCACATCTTAGAATGTAAAGAGGACAAAGTCACCGAAGCAAAGGTTAAAAAAATTTATTAATACGAAACAGCGCTGAATCGGGTGCACCAAAAATAGCTGCACGACGATCTTTTAGCTTTCAGGTATTTTATACCCTTATCCCGACCGCCTGAGTTTCTGTCTCCCTTCTCATTGGCTGAGAAGTTGGAGCTCACATTCTTCCCCACCGCTTGACCTATTACAGGTTTATTTCACACCTTCTTTCTGTGTAAGGCACACACATGCCTATTCTACGAAATCGTTAGTCTAAACATGCCTTTGATTAGTTGATTATGCTACACGTTATTTTAGAGTCTTTGCTACCATCTCTTTGGCAGATTTACCAGACTGGTTTCTTTGGCCTTATTGATACTCCCCTACCCTCTGGGTTTTTGTGTTGAAGGCCATGTTCCAGTTTGTTTCTTTTCACCTAGATAACGCTCTGTGAACAAGGATCCCTTGATAGACCAAGGGCATTTCTGGGGATTAATTGGATACAATTTATTAGACTCTACTATCACTAAGACTCCTTTGTTAGTACTGACACACTAACAAGAATATATCAATTAGCTGAAGCAAAACATAGCTCATTTCCCACAGAATCATAGTAATATTAAATATCTGTAAGTTCTTTGTCGGGGGACATTAGTGAAGTGTTACTTCAGTGTAGCATCTGCATATGAACAAAAGTTTGAAACTTGCCTGCCTTCCGCTTCCCCAGTGCTTGCACATCAGCTTCTCTGGAGCCTTCCTATGTTCTGCGGGCAATTGGAACAGATGAAGATTTGGCTCACTCATCTATCAGGTGCGTGGAGTGGTCTTCCCTAATGCTTCCAAATATTTTTCATTTCTGCTGAGAGTAGGTGGTGGATTTGTCCCACCCCTCCGCATGCATGTTAATCTAATCCTGAATGGTTTTCTTTTGGATTAGATTTGGCATTGGTCGTTTCACTACAGAAGAAGAAGTGGATTATACAGTGCAGAAGTGCATACAGCATGTTAAGAGGCTGAGGGAAATGAGGTGGGCTATCTTCTTATTAAACATAAAGACTTCTTAGGTATGATAATAATTTGAAGACTTGGATTTAGTTGAAAGTAATTGCTTCAAAAATGTGGTGGTGTCTGTATATACAGCAAGCAGTGTTGCCAGGGTGAGTAGTGGACCTGATCTTAACATTAGTGACAAATTTTTAAGGAAACAAACCTGATGATAAACTTTCTCGCAGATCCTCCCTTTCTAGGGAAAGAATATGAGTAGGACAGTACCTAGAAGTTTCTAAGCTAGAGATGGTATTACTGAGTTTATGTATGGAGAAGTTGCTTTATTTTGGTGAAACTGAAAGACACCTGACTCATCTGGAGAACATCAAATGAGAGGGCTCAGTATCTAAGAGATGCAAGTACTTCATGCCCAAAGTGGTAGCGGGAAGTGAGTGGAGCTTTTGCCCTCTCACCTCTCCTGTTATGGGCTGAGGACACAGTTGAGGACTGGTCGTCTGAAGCTCGCTGCCTCCAGAAGGGGAATATAGGTAGATAGGTGTCTCCTAATTTCTTGTGTAGTTGATGAAATTGTCTATTTGATGATGTCTTGTGCACTTTAGATCACCCTTATTTGTCTCCTTTCTTTATAGCCCCCTCTGGGAAATGGTGCAGGATGGAATTGACCTCAAAAGCATTAAGTGGACTCAGCACTGAGAAGACACTGCTGTCTGTGGACTACATGTGGGTGTGGGTTAAAATGCATTTTCTGTACATTCCTGAACAAATTATGCAGCACTTCCCTTTTTTGACACTTGCAATTTGACTGGAGAACTACCCTTTCTGATCGTAAAGTCTAAGAAGCCAAAACCAAAACTAGTCTTTATCCTAGACAAAGGCAGAATGATATAACACCCATTGCATTTATATTGATACACAGAAAGTTATGTACAAACATAATTTATTTGGAAATGTATTTTCTGATAAGAAAATGAACTCAGTGTGTTACACCTGGGCCGGTAGAATCCTGGTGAGAGGTTGTTGTTTCTCAGTGTGAAGGATCCCCTGTAGCTGCTGTGTTTGCAGCACAGGCCCGTTGCCAGCTCTGTCTGTCCCAGGTGGGCGTCCTGCAGCAGCAGCTGCTTTTGTGCCACTCAGGTGTGTTGTGTTGTGGGAAGCTCTCAGATAGGAAGCAGCTTGGCATTTCTAGAGGAGAAGGGAAAAGGATGTCTCAGTGTCGCTATGTGCCTTCACAGTTAAGTTGTGCTTGCAGTTAAGAACAATTATTATTTTTTTTTTTCTGAAACTGCAATAGCTCTTTTTCCTTGGTTTTATCTTTGTTTTTTTTTTGGGGGGGGGGGGGGGGAGGAGTTGATGCTTGTACAGACTGATGTGCATTAATCTAAAACATCCTTCTGCACGACAGTTTATGTTACAATAATGATGCACTTTGCTGTCCCCTCCATGGTGTTTTTCCATGCAATTTTTTTCTAAGGAAGGAAAGAAAACTTGACTGACTGGGAAGGGGGATAGGCAGAATATGTCAGCTTCAGTTGCAGTACCAGTTTAGTTGGAACATGAGTGGTGGTGGTTGTTGTAGGGAGAGGAGATGAAGTGCAATGTCTTAATGCAGTCTGGATCTTTTGTTGGTGTGGTTTTTGTTTTTTCTCCCCTTGTGGAGTTCTTGCTGTTACTCAGAGTTTGCCCATGGGCCATTGGCTTCTGTCACTTCAGGAGGTGCAGTTGAGCTGGTATATTTTGTCTGGAGATGAGAACACGTGAGTCTGGAGTTTTCTCTGGGTGACAGACTGTTCTTCTGTCTGACTAGAGACTTACATGGGAATCTGTTCTCTGCAAGTGCTGGGGGAAGTGTCTCTTGAAAAGTGTGTGATGAGACTTACTCATATCAGTGTTTCTGTTTTTCCTTTGTTGATCTTTCCAATAGGAAACTTAACCCCTTATTACAAAGTGCCTTTGTATCAGTTGCAAAAGCAGACAGCTCTCAAATGAGTTTGTTGGTTGATGGATGCTGTATTAGCTGCTGAATTTAATATACCCTCTAGACAGTATGTCCTCTGTTCTGGGAGGTATCTGCTTCAAGGATGAACCATGTAATGTAAAAGCTGAAGCTAAGTCTCAGGAGGTGGATTGTGTTACAGAAGCTTGTTCTGTTTTTTTGACACCAAGGGCAGATTTGGTTGTGTGTAACGCAAAGCTAATCCTCAGTTTTCTATTTGAACTTATTAGCTTTAGCAGGTTTAATATCATAGAGCTGGCACCTTATATTTCATCATAATATTTTTAAAACTACCATTTGCATAAATATGTTTTAGAGGTGCCCTATGTTTTATGTTTGGGCCATATATGTTTTCTGGATTAAGCATGTGATGACACTTTCCCAGCATGTCTTAGAACTATATGTTTATGAAATTGTTCCTTGTGTTTCATGGATGATATAAAAATATAGATAAGACTTAAACTTGGCTACTTTCAATCTTTTTGGATCCACCTTTCTGGCTGAAGTAGGTAGCACAATCAGCAAGTTTCTGAATTGCAGGCTTTCATTAGAGAACACAGAGAAAGAGAAATTTTTCTATGGGTGCTGGTAGAAGCTTTTTCTGTCATCAAGTCAACATTTGACTTTTGATGAGTCATTCTTCTCAAACTCAGTGCCTTATGGGAGCTAATCTTTTTATAACCTCAAATAGCTTAAATTTTGATTATTTTGAGAAAAGAGAGACCTAAATCCTCAAGATTCTGAGCACCTCTTATGTGTTAAGATTTAAAATATAAATGCTACATGTAAAAACTCATTCACACTGTTAACAAATGTTTGAAAATACTTATAGGACAAGATGAGGAAAAACTTACAGTGGAGATACTTTTCCCCGTAACAGAAAGAAGTAATGGCAGGGATGAATGTCTAGTTGTACTCCACTGAATGCAGTTAATGCTTTTTGTATGGAGGAATCAATTTCTTTGGGAGGAGAATATTTACAAGTGGAACTGCTGGTAACTCAAGTGAGAGACCTGTGGGGTTTTGTGGGGGTTTTTTTGTGATTAATTGGAGCCATCTGCAGGACATTAAATTAATAATACAAGGGGAGGATACCAGGAAGGGGAAGATTTAATGTCACCATTTTGCAAATATAATAAAAATTGAACCAATGTGACAAATAGGGATAAAATAAACTTCCAGTAGTGCAAGATGGTTAGGTAATACATAAGGGGAGCAAAATACTCTACTTGATGTATTTCAGTGCTTATAGATGCTGATAGGGCATATCGTGGAATCACAGAATTGTCTACGTTGGAAGGGACCTTTAAGATCATTTAGTCCAACCATCAACTTAACTCTGATAAAATGCCATCTCTAAACCACGTCTCTAAGCACTATGTCAACCTGTCTTAAATCCCTCCAGGGCTGGTGCCTCAACCACTGCCCTGGGCAGCCCATTCCAAGGCTTAATAACCCTTTGTGTGAAGAAATAGTTCCTAATATCCATCCTAAAGCTCCCCTGGTGCAACTTGAGGCCGTTTCCTCTTGTCCCGTCGCCTGTTCCTTGGGAGAAGAGACGGACCCCCCCGGCTACACCCTCCTTTCAGGGAGTTGGAGGGAGTGAGAAGGTCTCCCCTCAGCCTCCTTTTCTCCAGGCTGAACACCCCCAGCTCCCTCAGCCTCTAACCTAACTACAAAAATTGCGTATTTCTTCAGGAAGAATAATACCAAATTAGACAGTTGAGGAGACAGAGAGGAAAAGGGTCAGCTAACAGATTCGTTGACAGTGTTATACAGCCAGCTATAAAATTATTGGGGTTTTTTTTAAAATGATAAATTAACATAAACACTTTGCTCCCAACAAAATGCTGTCTCTTGTCTTCAATCTTCTGTCTGCCTGATTGATCGGCTTACTGTTCTCTCTCTGTCTGGGGTGACTTCGTCGTGGTGCAGTCAAATTGTTTCTGCAAACATGTATGCCCTGTGCTTTGAAATGATAGAGTTTGCCAAAGCTAAGTCCCAAAAAGTTGGCCTAAGATATCTCTTCTCCACTAAAGACAGTTTTGATTAAGTTTCAGGATAAGGTCCTGGACTGGAAGAAAGCAAATGCCAGTTTTCAAAATGGACAAGCTGAGTGCTTGGGAGAGCTGAGCACTCTGACAGCTGATGTTCCTTCTATCTATCTGAAACAGTGATAAAAAAAGGCTGGTACAAGATGCTCTTATAAGAAGAAAAGCTTATACTAATGAGCAATTAGAGTGGTTTTGTGCTGAGTAGGTGCAATAGAACACAAGGTGTTTAATTTAGTTTTAAAAAGTAACTATACAGAGTCGATAAGACACATCATAGCTGACTGACAGATTCTGTGTGTAGATAGGAATAAGGAGAGTATTTCTGGGAGGCGTCTGTGAGGATTATTTCTGTTGAATATTTTTCTAAATGATCTGGAAGCAATTGAGATCTGCAGTTGACATGTAGTAATCAGAAAGGAAAATACACAGTAGTATGAACCATTTAGTAACTGGGTTCACTCATCCAAGCCACATCATGGTATGGATGAAGGAACAGGATCAGAGGTGGTGTGTACAGAACGGCCTCTCTAGGGTGCTGGAGAAGAAGCCTGAGATTTGGGGTAATGTTCCCAGACTAATGGTGTAGCAAAAGTATAGTGCAAGGAGGAAGGCATTTTCATTTCAGGTGTGGAATCAGCACAATGGGTGCTGGCTCCCTCGAGCTTTACTTTAAAATGTCCTGTGTACTTTTTTTCCCCCTAGTTGTGTACCTAACACACTACTTAAGTTTTGATTTAGGTGGAGGAGACGGATAAATTAGCGCACTCTCAATAGTTTCCTAGTAACTAATAAAGGAACGTTCCATTCTTTTCTAACGCTATTTTTCTTTTGCCTGCCTTCTGCCACATACATGTTTCAGGGGAGCAATGATCCTTGTCTTTTAACCTTCTGCCTACCAGTGGTTTGCTTTCCAGAGACACTTTTCCCCCTGTTGTTGGTTCCTAACTGCATCTTGCTGCCAAGTCCTCTTTGGTACCCTCAGTCACTTGGCATGCTCCTAATACTAGTGCAGGGTTTTGTTCCCTCTCGTCCACTCTACAAACAAATCTGCGTCTGCTAATCTTATCGAACTAAATATTTTCTTGCTGTGAAAATTTGGGTATGGAGTTGGAGATCTGTGGGGGTAATTTGTGTCACGGACACCTGTCCCATATGGCTTCAGCTGAGCTGCAGCCCAGACCAGAAGGCTTGAGGTGTGAGGAGACGTGCTGGTCTGCAGCAGCTCGCCAGGGCCTCAGGACTTGCTCTCCAGTGTGCCTTCCCCTCAGCACAGACACAGTTCAGGGGCCTCCTGAGCATTATCTACTTTGGGCCTATTTTTTTGCTGGTCCACACAGTAAACATCACAAGTCTCCCCACCAGACGTTACTTCAGGAACAAAAAGCCATGTGGTGACCGATCACGTTGCACAAAAGCTGAAAAGTCTTAGTTTTCTTCTGATCTGGTTACTCCAGCGCAGCCCTTTTGTTACCCTGCACCTTCTCCCGGTGTGGCCGGCACGGCGTGGGACGTGCTGCCGACCAAGGCCCTGGGCTGCGGGGCCTCCTGTTGCCCCTTGCCGGCCACGGGCAAGCACCTCCCTGGGGGTCCGTGGGCTCCTCTGGTGACCCCCATGGCCAGCTGCTCCCAGCAGGGGTGAGGTGCTGGCGGCGAATATGTCTTGTCACGAATGCCATGAAAACACAAATTCCTGGATAATCCCTACAGCAACCAAGGAGCGGTGTGAGAGCAGGTGGCGCACCTAGCAAGACAAAAAGGAAGTGTGGGCTTGCTAGAGCTGATAAACTTTTAGGGCAGCCACTATCATAAATGCCAAATAGAGTACAAAATCTGTAAAACCAGGGCAAATAAGGAGAAGATAAACAAATATGGAGTGTTTATTGGAAGGGGATGAGAGTGATAAAGGAGGAGAATTTGGGAGGAGAAAGAGGGGATAGATGAATAGCGGAGTGGGGTTATTGTGGCACGAGCAGCCCCTGACCCCATTGTCTCGGGACAATGTGCCCTCACACCATTTGGGCCTGCTGAAAACCAAACAGGTTAACTGAATTGTTGACTCCCCAGTTCACCAGAAAGGTGCTTGCAACATGAGGTGATAACTTACTTTCATTTGCTTCTTGCAACAGATTATGTAGGGTTTGTTTTTTTTTTAATTGAAAATGGATGCTACTACAGTACCTGTGTCTACTGCAGCACCGTGACAGAACCTCTCCGGGGAGGGTCTAGCTGCTCTTCAGCTCAGGACAGTCTAGTTGTATCTACTGCACGTGTACTTAGTCAAGCAAAGGACAAATACAGGTAAGAGCAGTTACACTCACAGGGGCATTTTACTGAATTTCACTGAATTTCAGAGTTGGAAGGGACCATAGAGATCATCTAGTCCAACTCCCCTGCTGAAGCAGGATTGCCTAGAGCTAGAGCATGTAGCTGGTAGCATGGTTGCAGAATTAAAATGAAACTCAGATTACCCATTGACCCAGGGTAATCTGAGTTTCATTTTAATTCTGCAACCAGATTTTAAGGGACGGAGTCGGAAACAACCACGCTCCTCAGCGTTCTCTTTGCTGGGAGTTTGATGCCTCCTTTCGAGTCCCCGTTTGCTCAGCAATAACCCTCAGATACACCACGGTTAATTTCCAGAAAACCTGGCACGCTGTCACGGTGCCGGTACCGTACCAGAGGGAGCTGCACCGGCCCTGCCCCGTGCGGCCCTGACAGGCCTGCGCCCACCGGGCACCGCGCCCCGGCCCTCCCGCCCGGCCCCGCCCCGCGCGGCGCACGCGTCCTCGGCCCCG